AGGAGCTGCACAAGCTCCATATAACAGGCACAACCCCAAAGAGCATGAAAGATACACAAGCTCAAACAAAACAGCACCAAACCCCAGCTGCAGCAGGAGCTGCACAAGCTCCAAATAACAGGTATTTTTCAACAAAGATTGGAGCTACACAAGCTCAAAACAAAACAGCAACAAACCCTAGCTGCAGCAGGAGCTGCACAACTGAGGAAAACAGGCACAAACCCCATTAGCAAGGAGCTACACAAGCTCAGAATAAAACAGCAACAAACCCAGCTAGCAAGGAGCTACACAAGCTCAAAAACAAAACGGCAACAACCCCATTAGCAAGGAGCTACACATGCTCCAAATAAAACAACAACTAACCCAGCTAGCAAGGAGCTACACAAGCTCCAAATAACAGCAACAAACCCAAAGGGATTGAGGAGTTACACAAGCTCCAAACAACACAACAAAAAACACAAGAGCAAGGAGCTACACAAGCTCCAAAAAACAGTCACAAATCCAAACTCAAGGAGCTACACAAACCCAAGAACAAAACAGCAACAAACCTGATGGCAAAAAAACCCAAAGCCAAAGACTTCCTAAAGCAAAGGAGCAACATTACGAACTCATTGGTCATGCCTATCCATACTTACATGCACCAAAAGTTAAAAAGTACTAATTCATTAATTACATGACGTCATAGCGTTTTCATAACAAGAAGTATTGCAACATTAATAGTTTGCAAATAACAAAATGATATATGCGCAACAACATATACGTGTGCACAACAAAATGCTCCATCAACATGTAATCCAAACCGCACAAATTAGTTAATAGACCAACCTTGGTCATTAATCAGGTTGGTAATGTACCTCTGCTGACCTTCCTTTCCTTTTATGAAAAACCTTCTAGCTTCACGTTCATTGTCATATAAGTGATCTAAAATAATATCCAGGAATTCCTCAGAGTATTCATTCCTATGTTCCTTCAACGTTGCAGCCAACTGCTCAGTCCAATGAACAATGTGTTGATTTCTCATGGACTGAGACATTGAGTCAACAAAGGCACATAACATTTCCTCTTCACGATTTGATTTTTTAGGTTTCTTGTTAGAAGATGAATTCATGTTGTCTTTACTCTTAGACTTACATCTAGTTGGTTGTTGTTGGTTACAAGCATCAGATTGTGGTGTAGTTCCACTCTCCTCTGGAATTTCACTATCATCTTCAGGAATAGGTATGGACCTACTAGACCTAATGTTAGCATACACAGGCCTAACAAATTCACCCTTAGCTTGGTCATCACCCATGATAGTTTGTAAATTTTTGAAGTGAGGTAGGGGTTTGTTTATGTACGCTTTGAACTTAGATTTGGATTTGTCCAGCAATAACAAATAATCATAAGTTGTGAACCAAATGTATTAATTACTAATGACAATGTAGATGCTGAATGTTATACCTGAGATCACGATTTTAGGGTTTCGTCATCCGGTATAATCATTTTATTTATTTCATCACACCCAGCTCCACTTATATCAAGGCAAGCATTCATGTCATTGAATTTGTTTCTCAAGGATTTCAAGTGGTTAATGACATGTATATGAGTGAAATCAGTCCTAAATTGCATGTTGATTTTCATCGCTGCCATTTTATAAGCTCTGTCTTGAAGTTCTTGTCTGGCTTTAGCCCATCTAATGCTAATTCTGCAAGATAAGGAATGAGAACGTCATCGTGCTCTGGAAGCCAAAACTTATTAGCCACACCTCTTGAGTTCAACCTTGCCCCCAGGCCCGATTTCTTATGAGCTAATTTTTTCCCTTTTTTCATTGGTGAAGTGTGCTCATCACCATCAACATCATGAATAACCTTCTCTGCTGAATCACCAGTGTTTGGTGAAAATTGATTATGTCCACTACTTTGAGAACTGGCTGTGGGAAATAGCAAACCTTGTGGACTGCTTAACATGCTCACGTATGACATTGGTTGATGTGTCATTCCACCATAATTAACATCATATAATGAGAATGGTGAGAATGTATGATGGGGTGAAGAGAAAGGTTGTGGTTGAACAGGCGTGAAGTTCATGTTTATGTTAGCAGCTGGATTTGGCGGAGCATTAGAATGAGAAAGCAGGGGCTGCTTATCTGCCTGATTGTTAACCATACCTAATATATATTGAACAAGTAGACATTATTATTAAAGAAAGCAAAATCAATATATAATATGCATGCATTTAGCAATTTGCGTTAGAAAAGGAATATACGAATTCACCTACATGTATAGAAACAACATGAAAAGGTCGAAGATGATAATCGTAGTAATGTTTAGTACATGCTAAGAAACATTAAAATGGATAGTTGCGAACAGTAAGAAAATAATATAAGTTATTACATCGAGATAGAACAAACATCACATTAAGCTAAACCACTTTCCATTGTGTTACCACCATTATACTTTGCACAATAATCTACCTACATCGCCCAAGCAATTTGATCTCGTAGCTCCTTCCATTCATTTCTTTCATCTCGATCCTCTCTGTGTCCTAGTTTGAGTATAATCCACCACACTTGAGTCATCTTCATTTGTCACTTCCCCATTATCTTCATCAGTGTCTATATTTTCATTTAAAATATCATCATCTGGATCTTCTATAGCAATGAAATTGTGTAACACGGTACACGCTAGTACAATGTCCACTTGAGTGAGAAATGGATAATTTGGCTTCGCCGATAGTATTTTAAACCAATTCTTCAATATACCAAATGTGCATTCAATTTTTGATCTTAAACTTGAATGCCTTAAATTAAACAACTCTTTTCTATTCTTTGGTATCCTACCAGTGTGCTCTTTTAAATGATATCGTACACCGCGATATGGGGATATGAAGCCTGGCATTGTGGTGTATCCAGCGTCACATAGGTAATATTTACCTACATTACAATTAAACAATATCTTCATATCACACTATTGACAAGTATTTAATTTTTCTTAATTGTGAACAAGTAAGAATTAATACCATCATAAACTCGAAGACTGTGATCTTGACAAAGCATCTTGTAATATCCTATAGTCATTTGCTGCTCCCTCCCACCCAGCTAGGACATAGGTGAATAGTTTATTAGGGGTGCATGTTGCTAGGACGTTTTGTGTCACACCTTTTCTCCCTCTAAAACGGGCAACTAGGTTACTGGGTAATACTACGTCAAGTGTGTGCCATCTATCATACCAATGCAATCCTATAAAAAAATATAAGTTATAATATATTCAATAAAATACATATTCACTTTAAAACAGATGTTGAGGTGTATGTATTATTTTTACCTTGAAGTAAGGAAAATAATTTGGGTTGTTTGCAATCTCTGCATGAACTTTATTTGGAGCTTGTTTCATATAGCGATCACGTAACCCATTCATTGCTTGTAGGACTTTATTGAAATACCTACTCACTGTTTCTCCTGATCTTATGAACTCAGTCCTTATTATTCTATTTTTAGTTTTATGCCCCACTATACTCAGGAACATCGCGAGCTGTTCTTCGACTTGTACATGTCTGGAATCCTCTAATAAACCGTTTTCTTTCATTACTGCAGCAAGTTTAAAAAAGGCACTCGGTCTCATTCTAATGTAAGACCGACAACTATCACTATAGCCTTCCAATACACGTTTTAAGTGAGCTTCTGCAATAATTTTTTTGGATTTTTTTCCTCCTTCGTACAAGATGAAATTCTCTTGCGCTTAGCACGCATTCTCAGAATACATGTTATTATTGTGACCACCGCAGACACAGCTGTTTTAGCACACATCCTCTTCAATTGTTCTTCATCTACATTATCCATCTAAATCCCTTGTAAAATTAGCATATATTTACAACTTAACAGTAATAATGTTTGGAAACTAAAGATAATTAAATAACTAATAAAAATATTAAAATCGTAAAACCATATATCTACATATCCACAAATATATATCAAGTAGTGAAACAACTATTTCATATTTTGCACCCTAAGCATGCACGCTGATCAAACAAATATAATTAAGGTTTTCATTCCATGGTTTAGTCATTTGAAGGACTACAACAACAACAACCGCAGAGAACCAAAGCTCAATAATCAACTATATACCAAAACCCTTGATTCATGAGAGATTAGACATGTAGATGCCAAGCAGTTGCGAATGAAACCCCACTGACAAATAATTCTAATAAAATCAGTAATAAACTATATACCAAATGAAACAACCACCGAACAATACCCTTGTTTCAATAATTAAACATATACCAAAATCAATAATTCCACTACCAATGTTAATTTCATCAGAGCAAGCACAATTAAATAATCACATTAAAATGGTTAAATTGATTTATACTTGCAGATGCCAAGCTGTTGCGAAGGGAATAATTCAGAAATTGATGTCGTTACCAACAAACCCCACCGAACGGAATAACCAGCAAACCCAAGAACCCAACAACAATATCAAAGATCAGCGGGAGAAGAACAGCCAGCAAACCCAGAAATTGATGTCGTTTATAACAAACCCCACCAGCCAAGAACAACATCGAAGAACAGCGGGTCGCGGGAGAAGCCGAGCCCAAAATCTAGGGCAAATCCACAAACCGAAACCCAAATAATATCGAAGAACAACGGAAGAGGAGGCGCGAAGAAGCTTGGGGAGATGCGGGAGAAGAAATGGGGAGTTGCGATTCCAGAGCTAGGGTTCGAAATCGAGAGGATTAGGAATCAGAAAACGAAAACCCCAAAACGATGTCAGAATTCTCGCCCAAATCCTCTCCCCCCTCTTCGATTTGGGTTTCTTGAAAAAACGCCAACTGTTGCAACTTTATGGATTTCGTAATCCATAAATTTTCCCCCAGCCAAACTCTAGAATAGGATCGACAAAGATTTCATAAATTACACTTTTACCACTGTCAGACCTCAAATACTAATCCTTTTCTATAAAAGGGTGAAACAAACAGCTCCTAAGTAGAGTGTTTTTTCTGTTTCTGTTTCTTTTTTTCAAAAAATCAATCTAAAACAAAAAATCTAACGCTCATCTCAAAACACCTAAAAAAGTGTTTTGAGATTCCCGTGGCTTTTATTTCTCCCCAAAAACCATCCTGATCCCCTCTCTCTCCCTCAACCCTAACACCATCGCCGCCCCTCCTGCGTGCCGCCCCGACCCGTCGCCAGCCTCCGACAGTCGATCGCCACCCCGACCAGTCGTAATCGCCGCCCCCGAAACCTTCGCCACGCCACCGACCCGTCGCCGCAGCCGTCTCGCGTCGCCGCTGCCGCCTCGTCGCTGGCTCCGGTCGCTCCGCTCCGCCTCTGACTCCTCCTCCAATTTCGATCAAGGTATATTGATCTCCAATTTTTCTTGAGATTGAGATTTCATAAACTGCTTGTTTGAAATATCATAAGCCCCTTAATTAGTTTGATTGTGAGAATAATATGATATCTTGAAAATGAAGAAGGAAAATTTCAGCTACTTATGAACCTAATTTGTCCCATTGAACTTATGACATAAGCCAGTAAGACCCATATGATACCAGTATTGCTTTTTTCTCAAAAAGATATCTGTTTCTTTCCAAATTTGACTATTGAAGAGCCTATAGATGACAGAAACATATCCTCATATAACAATTTCTCACTTTGCTCTCATGTTTCCCGTTCTCTGTTTGACCGAAGGTGTGCCATTCTTGCCTTTAGCACTGAAAAGCATTTACTTTCCTTCATTTAAATTATATTCTGTTGTCTGACCATGTTTTCAGTTTTAAGCACCAAACTTAAGGTTAGTACAAGCATATTACAAGTAGTAAACTTAGATTAAAGTCGTAGAAAGATGACAAATACATTCATGGTTCACAATACACGAATTTTTCATTTGAATTATAGACATTGAAAAAAGCTCTCGAATGGTGGTTGGCCGACACCGCTGTGACGATTGACGACCGACAAGTGGTTGGTGGTGGGGAGCGGCAACGGGCGAGAGTAGGGTTTAATTGGTTGGATGTGTATCATATGCTAACTTCAAAATGGTGTTTTGAAAACACGTTTGAAAAATAAACACCATGATATGGTGTTTTTTTTTAAAAACACAACAAAAAGAAACACTTTGGTTACCAAACGCTCTCTAAATTTCCAC